TTACGAGATAGACGTTTGTCCACAGAAGACATTTCCATAGCTAGCAGACTAACGTGTTTCACTTTATCCAAAATCTACCATGAGCAGCTCTCCGGATGAAACGGAAGGGTCTTACTTTAGGTAACGAATGACTGAGGGTGAGCCATCGATTCATGTTTGTGTATAGTGTATTAATCCGTCGGTCATGTTCGCCAGTTCCAGCAATCACTGAAGACAGCCTTTTGTACTCGTCATTGAGATTTACTGCTTTTTCCTTTAATGCTTCAATTCGCTGGGGCTCAAGGAGAACCAGCTGATGGGTCAACTGGCACAGGGCACTGGGCATATCGGTAAACGAATACTTCAGTCGGTTGGCTGTATTGATACCAACAATTCGTTCTAACTCAGACAGTCGTTCATTAACGTCGGCCAACTCCACATACAGCTTGGTGCTGCTTGGAGACGTAAAAATCTGAACGTCTTTTAGCTGATCCTCTGATGCCACTGCCGGTGCGTTGGCCAGCACCGAAATTGCCGTATCCTTGATCGATCGCGGATCATTCAAAAAAGCCTGGAACTTCTCATCTGACTCTATCTGTTCTATCTGCAACAAGAAATCGCAAGCATAATGACATAATGACGTGCAACATGACTTGAGTAACATGACTTGAGTGACGTGCAACATGACTCATGACTTGAGTAACATGACAAGAGAGCATCACTTACTTGATCCCGTGCAAATGCTATAGTTTGATTCATATCCTGTTGGTCCACCAGAGTGGCCAGCTCCTCTACGGCTTTACCGCTAAGTTCCTTGATCTGTTCCGGGGAAAGAGTGGCCTTCTGATTGTTAATGACCAGTTTGAGCAAGTTGTCTTTCCCCTCAACAAGCTCGTTGAACTCGTGCTGAATCAGATCAAGCTGTTCCCTGATGCTCTGTAATTGTTCAGGAGCTGTTTGCAATCGTTCCGGGATGTTACCCAGCACTTCTCTTGTGGTTCGTTGCGCCTTGATCTTCTGAAAAAGTATATCCAGCTCTGTCAACACATTCTGCTCGCTTCCACCCTGTATCCCCGGTTGACTTGCGCTTTGAATCTCACCAGTACCCCTGGCCTCATACACAACCTCTGATAACCTCCGATCCAACCCATACTGGGTATTTTCGCGGCTTAGACTCTCCATTAATTTTTGATTGGTTAAGCTTTCGCAGTCCAGGCAATCAGGATATGCCAAAAGCAACAACATGAGGGGTCTCCATTTGTAGGCTACCCACCCACAACTACCCCCTATCTACGGCACCATTCAAACCCCTACTTACAGCACTATTCATACCTCCACTTACAACTCCATCTACACTCTCTCACAGCCGTTGTGCAGCCGCACGGCGGTGTGCAGTCACACAGTTGTGTGCAGTCACACGGTTGTGTGGAGTCACATAGCCCCCTCGACAATGCAGCTTGGTAGGTTTAGTTGTTGTCGGTCGAATGCCAGTGCGGGTGCGGAGGCAATCAAGCCAAGTCGCAGCCATTCGTCGACCACTACCCAATCTACAACGGATGAAGGCGAAGATCCGCTATGTAATTCCACGGAGGAGACCGTTGACAAGCGCGACCTTGTAATGTCTTCTCCGCCAACGGATAACTACCAGTATGAAGCGGTCTTGGCCGAGCTCACACTATTGGCTGAGACCTACCGGAAACTACCGCCACTTCTACTCGAACAAAAATCGTTCTATTCCGGAAAGAACACTCTTGTCCTTGACCTGGATGAGACCCTGGTCCATTCCAGCTTCTTTCCCATACCCAACACGAGCTTCGTTATCAACGTAGCCCTTGTCGACGCAACATATGACATCTACGTTGCTAAACGACCAGGTAACTATCCCCTCCCCGCTCCCCCC